TCTTAATATTTTTGTTTTAGTTTAACAAGAGCCACATATTGCCTACGGAGATAGAGGATTGGTATTCTTGGGTAATTGTTATGGCAGGATTTTTTTTTAAACTTTTATTTTAGGTTCAGGTGTACATGTGCAAGTTTGTTATATAGGTCAACTTGTGTCACAGGGGTTCGTTGTATGGATTATTTTGTCACCCGGTATAAAGCCTATCACTCAGTAGTTGATTTGTCTGCTCCTTTCCCTTCTCTCAACCTCCAGTGGGCCTGTTTATGTTCCCTTCTTTATGTCCATGTGTTCTCATTTGGCTCCCACTTAGAACACACAGTACTTGTTTTTTTTTTTGTTGTTAGAAGAGGACTTCTAGGTTAGAAATAAATGGAAAGTAAGTATTAGGGAGGGCTAGGTGAGTAGTGATTTCTCTGGATACCAATATCTACATTTTATTTTGGGAGTAGGAGGTGAGAGAGGGATTCCCTAAAGAGATGAAATTTGCCTGTGTTAACAGATCTCTTTTGCATCATTTGACTAAAACAGTCACATCTTGCCACCAATGACACCCCCTTCCCTGGGCATATATGTAACCACAGCACACTGCAGCTGCTAGGCAGGCTGGGGAGCTCCCCCAGTGCCACCCTTGGGAGCTGCACCCAGCACCCTAGAACAGCCACATGGCTCTCTATTGACAAGAACATCTAATGCTAGGTGTGGAGCTAAACTACCATTAGCAAAACAGCGGCTGGATGGTCCTTTACTTTGGACAATTATTTGACCTTCTGCAGACTAGATAAAAACCTGCGCATGTCATAAAAACAGGCAGGAGAAGTTTGGTATACACTGTGAAAGGAAAAGTGGGGGAATAGTCCACTGTCACTCTGTTTTAGGATTAGGATGTGATCATTCAGAATTTCTAATAAAAGCACTCTGTAGATCTCAAATCCCTGCCTTGTTTCTCCTGGGTTAAGTGTTCTAACATGAAACGACTCCACCATGTCTGTCTAAAGTTTAGCCAGTAATTATTATCTGAATTCAGATCTCATATTTTTCAGTCAGGAAGTAATGGAAAATGCTACTAAAATAAATGATTTACATGTATTTCCTAGGATTGGAACAGAGCTGTAATAATCATTTCAGACTATGATCCAGTTATTCAAATAGGGAATTCCAGAACCTCATGGGGGAATTTTAACAGCTATAATTCAAACTTCGTCTATTTTAAAAATTCAACTTTACTATACATTTTGATTCAAGATTTCCCCCAAGCATTGAAATATGACTTTATTGATTGACTGACTGAGAGATGGCATTTCACTCTTGTTGCCCAGGCTGGAGTGCAGTGGTACAATCTTGGCTCACTGCAACCTCTGCCTCCCAGGTTCAAGTGATTCTCCTGCCTCAGCCTTCCAAGTAGCTGGGATTACAGGTGCCCACCAGCACGTTCAACTAATTTTCTGTATTTTTAGTAGAGACAAGGTTTCACCATGTTGGCCACACTGGTCTCGAACTCCTGACCTCAGGCGATCTACTTGCCTCGACCTCCCAATGTGCTAGGATTACAGGTGTGAGATACCACACCTGGCCTAGAGTTATTTTTTACAGCTAATAAAAGCCACCTGGTGGCTACATCCTGTACATATTTCCTCTTTATTTTATGGTGTCCTTTATTAGCATGGATCTTGGTTGAGGAGAAGAAATAAAATGGAAAGAAACCCTGACTTAACAATTCAAGGTAGTATGAAAAAAGGTTTTCATGCTATTTGGATACTAATGACTTTCTTACTCTGGCTGTAGCCTTGCTGTCAATAGTAAGTTTGAGAACGACTTGTATTTCACCTAAATCGTGTGTATGGATTTGATTAGAAAGAAAAATACTATTGCTCCTTTTCATTTCCCTGTGGGCTTACTCCTTCCATCCTATTCTTTATCAAGTTCTAGTCTCAGGTATTCTATGAAGCTTTTTTCCTAATTCGCAAAACTTCTGTATCAATCCTACACTTACTTGGTATGCTTTTTTACGCTCCCCAATTACTTAATGGGTATGTTAGTTTTGTTTCCCGAGATATTTTGAAGCTTCAGAAATCTCAAATTAATTGAAGTAATTTACCTCATTTTCCATAATTCATTATTTTTTCTAATGGATATTTTTCTAATGGAGGTTTCAATATATTTTAATCTTTCCCAAACATTTTTGCTCATTGTTGAACAGACACATGAATCTTTGACATGCCTGGTAAGAGAGATATGAAATGCATTCACAGGCTCATTGGGAGCTAGAATCTATTGAACTCCTTGACCACCATAAAGTTTCATGTATTGAAGACTAAACAGTGTTCATGAAAACACCTTTACATCCATATGTGTTATGTTTTTCCTTAAATGGAAAAATGTTCTTTACTTCAAACTACTATTTACAACTCCTAAGTCATGATCCATTAGTTAGGGACTACCAATATAATCCTGGCTAAATCATTTATATGAAAATTAATGATTCTGATATCCTGATGGATTTCACTGAACCATACTAAATTCTTAAAATAATATAATTAAGCCACACATAGACACAGGAATGGCCTGAAATTAGTGCTAGTGGTAAAATCGGCATGGGATCCTGATTTAGGAGGCCCTAAACATGATTTAACATTGCTTTTTCCCAAAGATAAATTTAGACAGGGACTTGCCTGGGCTTTGCTAATCTTGAGATAAGGACAGGTTTTAGGGGTCCTCCTCAGAACGCCCACTGATGAAAGACAGGAGCAATAAGCAAGACATACATGATGAGGGTAGAAAAAGGGGCCACGCTGTCTTTTAGTCTGAAGCAATCTCCGGAAACAGCTAGAATGAGCCCTAAAACAAGTACAACCAGAAGCTACATGTGAGCCCCATGACCTGTGATTACTGAATAAAATGAATCTTAGCCCTGGGGCACTTTTCTTTTCCCCACCTACTTTACCAGTTAAGTCAGATGCCCAAATGCCACTTTTGCCAAGACATTAACAAAAAGTTACTTTTTGTTAGATTTATTCCAGCAACTGTTGCTCAGTATGAATAGGCTCAAATATCAAAAGTGATTATTCCAACTAAAAGCCAGAAAGAAAACACAAATTGGGAGGCAAGTCAACCTCCCAATTACCACCTTTCAGGGTCTCTCCATCTCCTGATCTGGCTTATAAGTCTCTACACCCTGGCTTCCCACTCTGTTTCCTCTGCCTCCATCCACTTATCACTACTCAAGTTGAGGAAAAAACAGCCCATTTTTCACCGCACACAACCATGCCATTTTGGGCCTCCATGTACTGACATGTACATTGTAACACTCTCTTCCCCTACAATCGCCTGGCTAGCTCCTTCCTACTCAGCCTTCAAGCCTCAGACCAGGTGTCACCTTCTTCAGGAAGATTTTCCTCATTTCTGCAGACGTTTTGTAGCGCCTCCCACCCTGGGATCCCATCGCACCTTGGGCATGCTTCCTTTAGAGTTCTCGCTACTTCATGTAGAATAGTTGTGTGGAATATTAACTGCCTCCCCTCCAGCCTTGAGTTCAAGGGCAGCCACCATGTTTATTCATGTGTGTAGCCACACTTAATGACTATTAGCTGAATGGAAATGCAAAGCTTTTCCAAACAAATTGGGTTTAAAATGATACTTGAATAAATGTATTCAACATTCAGGTCATGAGCTAGTAGGTGCACTGTGAGAAGATCCGAGGACAGTCCAATTCAGAAAAAAAACACAATAAACATTTAGAAACTGGGTGCCTTTCAATGACTATATTGTACTTTATGAGTCATTTTTTATTAAGTGGAATAAAAAGAAGAAAACTAAAGAGAAAAACCAAGTTTCATAAGCACAAATTCACCTATTAAAAAGTCAAAATTAAGTGATCTTTTCTTTTACTCATTCCTCAAATATATTGTCATAAAAACAGGCTTTCTCCCCCTCTCAATCCAAGGAAATACTGAAGAAACAGAACCAAGATTAAATGGGCTTTTACTGACATATGCTTATTTTGGCTAAAAATCTTTTAAGAAATCAGCAGTTGTAAAATATATCTTACAATAGAGAACTTTTACCTCACAATAGAAAAACTCCATGCTTGTGAAAGAAGTGTTCTTTTTGCAGTATCGGACTAGTTTATACACAGTGAACTGCCTGTAATGAATTAGATGGTGCTTTGTTTTCTACAGAAGATTAGAAGAGTCTTCCTACTGTCAGAGCCAAGATAGGCTCTTTTGAGTGTCACTATCAATAGCCAATTCAATTCAATCAACTGATAACAATGTGAACATTATGAAGAAAAGAAAACTTGGAGCTTCCCGACTACGTTTCTAGAAATGTCTAAGACCCTAATTTTTCTTTCAATAATAAAATGAAGTAATAAAATGTTGGATATTTTACACTGAAAAAAACCACAAAACTGTACAGCAATATGAACAATCTGGTATCAATGCGTAATTAATAGGGATACTTAGAAAAGTTATCATGTAACAATGTTAAAGATACGTAACTCTTGTCACAGCTCTATTTCATTTTATCCATGATGAAAGGTTCCAAAGCAAAGAATTGCTGTGTCTGAGACTAGTCTGTAGTTATTTTAAGTATTAACTTACTAAAAACTTTACCTATATTTTGGCATAAGACTTACCATCAAGCATAACATTTTAATTTTTTGGTGCTTCAAATCTAGTTTACATCATACACAGTCCAGTTGTCACTGTTCGACAGACTTTTTTCCTCTAATGTCTAGTTAACATCAACGTTTGTTATCAAAATTTTTAAAGATGCCATACTATTAACAAGATAATCTTGTCAGCTCCTTTAAACCCACCAATAATGCAAATATTTGCAAAACATGACTCCAGAGGTATCCTGTGCTATATACAGAAAACCCAAGAGTGCAGTGGAAGCGAGAGCCTCCCTGAAGACAGAGATGATATCACTTCTTTCCTTTGTCATGGTTATAACTTTTGCACTCTCAGAATTTACCTGGAATAGCACTGGTGGCTTACCTTGTGTTTGGTTTCAGATTTTCTACTGTGGAAAAGGTCTGATTTGTAATTTGAATGGACTTGTTCTTCCCACTGAATGACCCATTTTCTCTGGATATAACTTCGTATTCTGTAAAGTGAAAAAAGCCAACAGATAATTGTCTTTATCTCTTGGCTGATTTAATCACTCCTGAAGCTAATAGCATAAAAAAGTCACTCACACAAAGTGAGCAGTTGAGACTGAAGTTCTAGAGACATACTGATCTTACACATTGGCCATTTCTATAGGGAATGGTCAGCAGATGAAGGTTCCAGAAGCATTTGGGGATTTGCTCATTAACCATTTCTGCATTTCTTTTACCAGAGGCAAAGGAAAGCCTAGTACCTGGTGAAGCCCCATGCCATGCCGGTGGCTTCTCTGGATACACAGCCTCTGATTTTGTTAGGTGAGTCAGATAGATAGCCCACCCATGCCGCGAAGCCCCATTTTGGAAAAGCACCGTATGAGGCGTGGTGCCTGAGCAGACGTGTTCTCTGCTCCGCAGGGTTTGCAATATCGTTGGTGTACAGGCTACCAGATACAGGGTATTGCTGCAGAAAACTTCTTTGAGTTGAGTATCACAGCAGCAAATAACTGTTAACCAAGTAATAAACGATACTTTTCTATAGTTCACTATTTTGAACTATAGAAGTAGTGGGTTTTTGTACCCACTGCCTACATATGCTTGCTTATTTTCCTTGCATTAAAAAACAAAATAATGTGCTTAAAGTCTGCATAGAAGTCTGCCTAAATTTCACTTAAAGGCACATTTCTATAAACTTGCAGGGCTCATCAAAAGGGAAAGAAATTTAGAATAAGGCAATGCAATTTACACATTTGTTAATTGGTTTTCCCTGCTCTCATTTGAGACTTAGTTTAATGCATGTGATGAGACGATACAGAGGACTAAAAAGAAACAAAAAAATCCTACTAAAAATCAGCTCCATTAATAAGAAGAAATATGCAGGTACTGGGCATCAGATAGGTGAAAAGGCTGCCAAAGATCTAGCAAGTTATATTAGGGCTTTCTGCTGTTAGCACTGAGCCCAATGGCATGAGATGACTATTGGAAATAAAATAAAATAAAAAATGAGAATAACCCAGGTAGACCCCAAATCATCAATTTATATTTGGGGATTTTTATTTCATTTATTTATTTATTTTTGAGATAGGGTCTCAGCTCACTGCAACCCTCACCTCCCGGGGTCACGCTAGCTTCCCACCTCAGCCTCCTGAGTAGCGCACCACCACAACCAGCGAATTTTTTTGTAGAGACAGGGATTTGCCATGTTGCCCAGGCTGGTCTTGAACTCCTGAGCTCAAGCGATCTGCCCACCTCAGCTTCTCAAAGTGTTAGGATTACAGCCTTACTGTGTACAGAATTACTGTGCCCAGCCTTAGGAGGATTTGTAATAATATATTTAAGAAAACCCCAAGAGGAGGATGATTTTTTCTGAACAATTTTGTACGACCATTCTTCCAAAAGTTAAAAATTCAACTGGAAGACAGTGACCATGGTTTCTGGATACAATCAGTGCAGCCATTGAAGGACTGAGGACTGTTATTTAGTACTGTCACTGAGACTTTCTGATCCCAAACTATCACTCAGCTGGCTCTCCTAACAGAATGGAAAGAGAAAGGGGAAGAAAGAGAATTCTGAATTAAAATCTGTCCATTTTATATTTTTTCCTCAGCCATGAAGGGATATTTGTTAGAAGATGGAAGGACTTAAAATGCAAGTAAAATTGATTTAAAAAGAAAAGGAAACCACATGGCTTAATGGAAACAGCAAATCAAGCCACTTGTCTTGAACTTCGTCTCAGTCTTCCCATCTGTACAATGTTAATATCTCTTTATAGTGCTGCTTGTGGGGATTAAATTAGGAACAGATAGAAAGTGCCCGATAGTATTTTGCATGTATTTTGTTCAATGGGTGGTATCTATTATTATGCCACTTCTATTATTATTTATCATCCTGGAGTTGTAGTTTGAAAATGTGACTACAAAAATTTTAAGACTTCAATAGGAAAGGTTCCTGTGCTGCTAAATCACCAAAAGAACAATTTACATGATACTCCAGTTGGTTATGCACCAAAGCAATCACCTTCAAAAAGCACCTTTGGCTTCGGACACTTCTCATCAACGTATGACATTCTTCTTAATATGAACCCTGCCTTTTAGTAGTTGAAACATCTATTGCCTGTCTTCTCTGATTTCCATTTGGCTCAAGTTTTAAAAGCTTATTTAATAATTTTTTTTTTCTGGAGGATCAGAATTTTCAAAATGGATCTAGAAGCTTCCTTCCTAATTAAAAAGACATTTAGAATTTCAGAATTCTAGCTTTTGAATATCCATTTGTTTTGTGCTTTATAAATATATCTTTTCCATTTTTAATGCTTTCAAGTGCTAATGCCTTTTCATAAATCCACCAACATTACAAAAATTGCTCCTACTAATAAACAGTAATGTAACAATTTCTAGTTTATGCTGCACATTCAAATATCTTATTTAATTTTCTCCTCAGGATAAGTTGATAACAATGAGGATTATTATTATTACACCTAAGGAAACTAAGGCTCAAACAGGCTAATTGTATACACAAATTGCATATGTAATGTAAAGCTCATCTGGGATTGAAATCTATGTCAGCATCCTCTTGGACTATCAGACTATGTATGATGCTTATAACTAACAACTTTAAGTTGCTCAAGGATCCAGGCTATGGCCAATTTTTTGGGTGTGCTTTTCTCTACTTCAGTATAGAAGGGACATGCAGAAGCAACTGAACTCAGATGTCTTCACTAGAGGTGAATATGTGCCCATCGGCTCAAAGAAAGAAGCCAACTTGGGGAGGAATATAGTTTACTCTATCATATATCATTCCCTTTTTGTAAAACCATTCAAGTGACAGGTGACAGGAGTTCACCTACCATGCTACTTGCTGTGTCCTCTACCTGCTGTAGCTTGCTAGTCTTGTTTCTCCCTCCTCTGGTTTGACTATCGTCTTTGTTACAGAGAATCAAACTGTTGTATAACAAATTCAAAGAGTGCCTCAGGGTTTCCTATTTTTCACAATCATTTTTAGAGGAACTGGTGGGTGGTAACAGAATCAAAATTTCTTAAGATGAGCAGTAAACTAATCAGGAATAGAATTTTTGTTTTTATTTATCCTAAGTCAGTTGAAGTCACCTTTAGCCTGCTAGAAAGTTCTAGGTCAATTAGAAGTTGGGTTGCTGAAAGAAAAATTAGTTTAATATTAATCTGTGCAATGGCAACGCATATGTTTTCTGTAATTTTCTTGGTGATGAAAGACTAGCTTCTTCTTTATGGTGTGAAAAAGGGTTTTGAGAGGAAATGGAAAGAATGCAGCTTGAAGAGATCTACTAAATTAATACGGAACCCGTAATGAGGACAAAGAGGATCTTTTCTCATCCTATTACACTGTTGATAATAATGTGCCTTCAAGACAGCAAAACTGCTAGTTCTGGCTCCTCCCCAGATATGCTTCACATGTCACCACTGACCCAGGGTACCCAACTCCCAGGGTATCCTGTTATCAAAGCTTCCCACCACAACAGTCCTCATGCCATGATCTTACCAGTGACAGTGTCATTTAATGGCTTTTCCCAGTCCAAGATGACAAATGAGGGGCACCCTTCCACGGTGACTACAGTGAGGTTGGTGGGTGGGTTCTGTGGTGGGCTGGTGGCATTCCCTTCTGTGGCCTCCTCTTTGGGGAACCGTTTGACGGAGTCAGTAATGGAGCAGGGACTGCTGTCAGGCTTTTGGATGTATCGCACATGAGGACCTAAGAGAGAGAGGACCTTTCACCTTTAACATTTTTGAAACTTGTGAAGAAGATGAAAGTGAGCTCATAAATACGATTAATTTGAGGACATTTATTCCCATATTATAAGCACTTGGTTGAAAGTCATGATGTAGATGGTTCAAATTAGAAAAATTCAAAATCTTGCCTCTGAGACACATGATATAGGATGGTGTTGGTTTACTTACTAAAGAGGTTTAGCTTATGCTAATATCTGAAAGTAATTTAATCTCCCTAATCATGGTTTAAACTCATAATTTATGGGGCACTGGGTCTTCCCTCAGTAGTGGGAAATAATTAGCTCTATACTAAACACAGTTTTGGTCCCACCCAATAAATTTTAAAAACCAGACTCAAAAGAATCAAGTAACTTCCAGCATTTTATTGTATCCCAGAACAAAACTCAAGAATATTCTAGGAATTAAAAAAAAAAATTCCGCACCTAACAGGTGTAATTCATAGGAAAATCTTATCTATAATGAGAAGGAAAAAAATCATTTGAAACCAACGTAGAACTTGCATAGATGTTAGAATAATCAGAGAAGAATTATAGTTATTGCTATAATCCACATGTTCAAAAAGTTAGTAAAGACATGTATGATATTTAAAAAGACCCAAATCAAATTTCTGGAGATGAAAGCTACAAGATAGAAGATGCGAAATACATGGGACAGAATTAATACCTAGAGGATACTGCAGAATAAATGATTAGTGAACTCGAAGACATAGCAATAAAAACTATCCAAAAAGAGGGAGAGAAGATACAGATGAAAAGCAATGATCATCACTGAGATGTAGGACAATTTCTGGTGGTCTCATGTACTCATTGGAGTACCTGAGGTAAAGAAGGGGTGGGCAGAAAAAATAATTTAAGAAATAATGATCCCAAATCTTCCAAATACCAGAGTTTTAAACCCATATATCCAAAAAGCTCAAAGATACCTAGGAGCAACAAAAATGTAGAAAACTCTGCCAATCATAATCAAGTTTCCCAAAACTAGTGATAAAGAGAAAGTCCTTAAAGGAGGCAGACAAAAGAAGGACGTGTTTTATACAGAACAGCAAAGACAGGATTGTGGCAGACTTCTTACTAGACAGAATGCAAGTAAGAGGCATTGGGACAGCACCTTCAAGTGTTGAAAAAAAGACATCATTTAGAATTTAACAACTAGTGAAAATATCTTAAAAGCAAAATGCTTTTTCTAGACATACAAAACCTTTAAGACTTTATTTACCAGCAGACCCACACTAAAAGAAATATTAAAGGAAGTCTTTCAGATGGGAAGGAAATGATGCTGACAGAAATATGGAGCCACCAAAGGGATGAAAAACACAGTGACAGTAAATGCATAGGTAACATACACAATATTTTTCTTACTATTTCTAAAAGATAGGTTACTGTTTCAACATAAAAACACCTTACTGTAATGTATATAACATGTAAAAGTACAATGTATGACAATAATAGTTCAAAGGCCAAGAGGGGAGTAAAGCTATGCTAGTGTGAGATTCTTATATGTGAAGTTGTACATTATCACTGGAATCAGATTGTGATAAATTAAAGATACATACTATAAACCCCAAAGCAACCATTAAGAAGTAAAGTAGTTCAACCATTGTGGAAGACAGTGTGGCGATTCCTCAAGGCCTTAGAAATAGAAATTCCATTTGACCCAGCAATCCCATTACTGGGTATATATCCAAAAGACTATAAATCATTCTACTATAAGGACACATGTACACGAATGTTCATTGCAGCACTGTTTACAATAGCAAAGACCTGGAATCAACCCAAATGCCCATTGATAATAGACTGGATTGGAAAAATGTGGCACATATACACCATGGAATATTATGCAGCAATCAGAAATGATGAGTTTGTGTCGTTTGTAGGGATATGGATGAATCTGGAGAACATCATCCTCAGCAAACTGACACAAGAACAGAAAATGAAACACCGCATATTCTCACTCATAGGCGGGTGATGAAAAATGAGAACACATGGACACAGAAAGGGGAGTACTAAACACTGGGGTCTATTGTGGGGAAAAGGGGAGGGCCAGTGGGAGGGGGAGGTGGGGAGGGATAGCCTGGGGAGAAATGCCAAATGTGGGTGAAGGGGAGAAGAAGAGCAAAGCACACTGCCATGTGTGTACCTACGCAACTGTCTTGCATGCTCTGCTCATATACCCCAAAACCTAAAATCCAATAAAAAATTAAAAAACAAAAAAAGAAGTAAAGTAAAGTTACAGCTAGTAAGACAACAAAAAAGATGAAATGAAATTGTAACATACTCAACCCAAAAGAAGACTGACAAGCAGGAAAAAAGGAACGGATAACACATGGGTAAAATAGAAAGCAAATAGCAAGATGAAGATTTAAACATACCAGTCAGGAGCCATATTAAATAAAAGGTTCGACATACCCAAAATAAAATGCAGGCTGGGCATGGTGGCTCATGCCTGGAATCTCAGCACTTTGGGAGGCTGAGGCTGGTGGATCAATGATGGTCAGGAGTTTGAGATCAGCCTGGCCAACATGGTGAAACCCTGTCTCTACTAAAAATACAAAAAGACAGGCTAGGCATGGTGTCAGGCACCTGTAGTCTCAACTGCTTGGGAGGCTGAGGCAGGAGAATCACTTGAACCCAGGAGGCGGAGGTTGCAGTGAGTCAAGATTGCACCACTGCACTCCAACCTCGGCAACTGAGTGAAATTCCAACCTGCCCAACCACCAAAAAAAAATAAACGAATCTGAATAGCTCTATACTTATTAAAGAAAGTGAATTCTATTAAAATTGATATACTGAGCTTCATTAAATTAGAAGACACACATATTTTCAAATATAATATTTTCAAAGTTTGTATTTAAAAAAGCTCTTGTATCCAGAAAATACAGATTATCAAAATTCAACATTAAGTAAACAAGCAACTCCATTTTTTAAAATGGGCCAAAAAATTGGAAATAGCTAAAAAGATATATAGATGGCAAATAAGCACATAAGACATTCAATGTCATTAATCATTAGGTGGTTGCAAATTAAAACCATAATCAGATACCATTATGCACCTATTTAAATGGCTAAAATAAAAAAGACTGACCATACCAAATGTTGGTGAGCATTTGGAGGCACTAGAACTCTCATCTCTGCTGACAGAAAGGTAAAACAGTACAACTACTTTGGAAAACAGTCTCTTAAAACGTTACATACACATTCCTATGTCACTTAACCACCTCCCTCCTAGGTATTTGTCCAAAGGAGTGAAAGCACACGTCTTTACAAAGACATGTACGTGAATGGTCATAACACCTTTATCAGTAATGTAAAAAAAAATAGCAATGCCACAAACAAGTTTACTAAAGAAGCAAATTATTGAATATTCATATAATACTAGCCAGCAATAAAAAGGAATGGACTATTGATACATATGCAGCAACACAGACGAATCTCCAAATATTTATGCTGATAAAAGAAGCTTGACAACAACAAGAGTTCATACTGTATGTTTTCATTTATATAAAATTTCATAAAGTACATACTAATCTGTAGTATGGCAGGCCTGTTGTCACCTAAGAACTGGGGGTTGAGTGGGAGGGAAAAGAGAAAGGGATTGCAAAGATACATGATGAAACTTTTGGAATTTATGTATGTGTTAATTATCTTGACTGTGATGATGGTCTCATGGGTGTATACACATGTTAAAATTCATCAAATGTTACATTTCAGAAAAAAACTACAAATGCAAATACTGGGCTCTATATCATATTATCTCTCTCCTACTGTGGCAGATTGTTGTTCAAAACTATTCTTTATGTCCATAGGAGGAGTATTCTTCCCCAGTCCTTGATCTGAACTTGGCTATGTGACATTTTTTGGCCAATAGATACTGATAAGTATGACGCAAAAAGGAGCTTTAAATGTGGTTTTGCATTTGGACACCGCTTTCTTGATTTTGCATTGTCATGAAAATGGCTTCTCCTGGGTCACTGTTGGTTATTCATCATCCTGGGCATCAGAGTAAACACATGTGGAGTGGACCTGAGTCCAACCTACAAGAGGCCCAGCTGAACCTGCTGCTACAAGCGGAACCACTAAGCTAAACACATCTTAGATCAGCTGTCAGCCAGTTGATTTGCAGACACATGAAAAATAAATCCTTAGTATTATAGTAGGCTACTAAGATTTGTGGTTTGTTACACAGCAATAACTGACTGATACACTTACCAAAAATAGCCTTGTCAAATGTGAGATTCACAGCCAATCATACATACCTTTGAATCTGGGCTTCCCAAGAGGATCAGTTTCTCTTGTCGGGCTTGAGCTAAAGTCAGTTATATTTTCTGAGAATGGAAGATAATGAATAATTTTGGCAAAAGATAAAAAACTTCACAATACAAGGAAAAGCTGTACATTAAAGATAATATTTCTTCTTGTAAACGGCTTGCAGTTTTGATTTTTAAAAATTATACATATTCATCTACAATATAAGGCCTTTAGCTGTGTCCTGCTGCGATGTGTTCTATAGTGTGAGTAATGAATTAAAAATTATAACCAAGTGGTTAATATGTACTGATAAATTAAGATATGTGTAGTTGGTCATGACATGATTTAGTAGTAGCATTAGTAGTCTAGATCTTTACGAATCAAAGTTAGGCAGTTTCTTCTATGTCTGCTAAGGGAAGGATAATACTCTATAAGGAAGTATTGAAAACAAGTGTAGTTTTAAAATCAAAAGAACCATATTAATCATAAAATGGAGTAAAATAGAAGACCCCAAACTGAGACTCCCCCGTCCCCACCACCAGTTAAAATATTTTGCACCTCACAGCAAAGCATCCAGTGAGAACTGACTGCCATACGAACCCAGTTCTTCTTCGGAGGCAGGAACTGTTGGTTGCTTTATATCTGTTGCTATTCTGTCCCAGGGAGTTCCGGTAGGTCTGACTGTCAACCTCAGGGGTGGTATAGTTATTGGGCCTGATGAAGTGATTCCTGTAATGTAGAGCCAAAGTAGTCAAGCTTTATAGGAACACTGCCAAACTTCCTATAATCATTTATTTATTCAGTAAATGTTTTCAAGCACTAACCATGTGGCTTGGCACTATAGGCCAGCCTTGGAGAGGAAACAAAACCTGATGCTTGATGGAGATAGATGTATGAGCCAAGTATGTCAAAGCATTATAGATATTATGAAAAAGTAATGGATAACATCACAGAAGGGGTGTGTAGGAAGACGGAGTGGTTATGTTTATGAGGAAAGACAGAGGGTTGCTGGGTTGGAGGGGCAGAGAAATGCCTAAACAGGTAACTTGAAGGGGTACAGTAAAAGCTGAGAGTGGAGGGGCAAGGAAGGGAGGATCATGAAAGAAGCTGAATACCAGGGATTTTGATGTTATTTTTAGGGACTGAGGCAGTCGTGTAGGCGAGAGAAGGGAAGGTGAACAAGCGAAAGCAGTGGAACTGGATGGAAGGGGTGAACATGAGAGCTGTCAGGGAGACTCAGTGGCAGGCACGAAAGAGGGCTAGAGAAGAAGGAAGAAAGATTCCCAGGGTTAACATCCATGATTCTGTCCCGGTGGTCAGTAAGGTGCTACCCTGACTATTACATTCAACAGTGGCTCCTCCACTCTTAAAACACTTAAAACTGGATCCATCCCAAGGTCCAGCAGGGCTGGTGTTTAGAGAGTGACAGGAGACTGGATTGAATTTCATGTTCCACCTGGGAGGAGTCACTCTTGGGCAATACAGAGTCAAGGGATACAAGCCTAGCCCAGGGACTATGGCCCAGCTTGGAATCACTGCTGAGTAGTAAGATGGGCCTCTGGCCTGGCTTCCAGGGATGCATGTTCCTGACCCTAGAGGGTGTGGGCCAGAATAAGAGGGCTAGCGAAACCCAAGGGGAGTTGCAATGCAATCCACAAGGGCTTTTCAGAGTTGGCAGAGCCAACGGGAAATGCTGGTGTAGCAAAGCCTGGGTAGATCTGGAGATTGAGGGCAAGTGGCAGATGCCACATGGCAGTCCCAGACTCTGCTCACAGGCATATGTGGGAGAGCCTCAGAGGACTCCAGGACATGGGGCTGGAATTCAAGATGCCCTTTCTGTGATGCTAATCAGGCCAAATCTGTACCAGAGTCCTCAACTCCTCTCTGGCTCCTCAGTACAGCCATTTCCCTTGAGTTAGAGGTGAATAGTAAAGGGTGAGGGGTGGAGAGCAAGGACTAGGGTTCATCTCCGAAGTGGAATATGTTTATAGTTCTTCTTCAGGCTGGGTGGACTGTACCAAAGCTACATTTACTGACTGGAGAGAACAAAGGTTTATATGGCAGGCACCAAGGCCACCAAACTTCTGAAGGCACACAGCCTCACAGCATTGCCATAGAGGGGCCCCCAGGTGGCATACTCAGGCATCAGCCTGTGGCTCATCCAGTCTGATCTGTAAGCTGCTGGAGCTCAAGTCATAGCTGCCCCAGGTTACAATACAAGAAATGCCCCAGCTTACTAGGAAGTCCAGTCTCCTAGCAAGGCCATGTCACTGAACCTTGACTCAGAAAGGCCCCGGAGGCATGGAGAGGAGGCTGCTTTCTCCTTCAGCGCATGGGGAAATGGCCTAGAGTTCACTGTGCACAAGGGACATCCTTTAAGCTCCATCACAATATCCTCCTTTCATCCTGTGAAAAGAGTGACATCCACTCTCCCTTTCACATCAGTCTTCATCAGTTTCGTTGTTCACAGCTGTTTTAATGCTTTTATCCTGATTCCACCTACAAGATACTTAGGAAGTAGTGGTTTGGAGAGAGGGAGGAAAGATGGGGAACATGCTGGGATTTGCTGGCAGGTCCTGGGTGAAGGGCCTTGAATATGAGGTAAAGCTTCCCTCTGAACTGGGTCAATTTTTTCATTCATTTATTTGCTTTGTTATTACTTATCAAATATTCTCTATGTACTAAGCACTTGATTTGTTTCTGGGAATTCAGAGAGAATATACCAAGGATTTTGTCATCACAGAGCTCACAGTCTAGTAGAGGGAGAGAAGTATGCAAACAAACAGGTCTGAAACGATTTTCTCTTTGCTCTAACGGAGGTGTATGTCAAGGACAAGAACAGAGAAACAGTAGCGCTGAGACTACCTTGGGAAGTTAGGGAAGGATTTTAAAGAAAAGGATGAAGTCTGAGTGTCCCAAGCCTGGGAGGGGTCATTCTATAGGGAGGAGCAACGTGTGTGCCCAGGCATGGAGGTAAGAGAAAGCCTGCCTCCAAAACATTCCTGTCTTGTTGCACAGGCTAGGCCTTTCAGTCACCCTGAATATTTTTGTCCCAAATCTTTCCCTGAGCACCATAATACCAGGATTGGCATGAGGGCTCTTCTATAGGAGAGCTTTCAGTGAGACACATAGGATTTTATTTCAGGAGACAGAATGATAAGTCAATGACAAGTCACCACATCTGTTATTCCTGGGGCCTTGGCAACGTACAGCATCTTGTCCAAAATAATCTATTTGTTGAAGGGTCTGAGTCAGCTTCGACCTAGGCTCCAAGCACTCAGACATCTAAGAAACAAACCTGCCTAGAGGCAGAGGGATGGTTTCCTTCTTTCAGTCCAAGAGTCAGCTTCTAAGTCCTGAAAGCTGTCATTTACAGTGTCTAGTCTTCGGGACCAACACAAACGTGTCACACACATCAATGGCGTGCCTGTTGCCAGCATGCCAAGAAGAGCTTATGTTGGCTAGTAAAACTGAAGTCATGGCAGGAGAAGGAAGGTACATGGCTAACGTACCTGAACCTCCCGGCTTTCCAGTGACGTTATTTGGTGGTAAAGGTTTTCTTCGTGGGGGAGTAGGTCTGGGTGGCAAGGGTGGGCGGCGAGCCCCTGGGATTGTGGATAAGAGATTGCATTTTAGATAAAGCCATCATAAATATTCACTATCAAAAAAAACCCACAGGGTTTTTAAAAATGAAAAATGATGTTTGGTAATTAGCAGTTGGATGACAGCGAACAGATTCTATAGAAAAGTGCACACAAATATTCTGTTATTCCTTTAAGTTAATGTTGGTAATGCACCCATGGACAACAAAGCACTTCAGCATATAGAAAACATGTCCTTGTTATACACAAATATATAGTTGGGCCCTTCATATCTTTGGGTTTCCCATCAGTTAATCCAAACAACTGTGGTTAGAAAATTTTTTTAAAAGCACAATAAAAATAACAGTACAACAACAGCAAAACACAAAATACAGTATAATAACAAGTATTTATATTGCATTAGGTATTATAAATAATCCAGGGATGATTTAAAGCTTATGGGAAGATGTGCATGGGTTATACGCAAATACTGTATCATTTTATATAAGGGATTTGAGCATCCTCAGATTTTAGTATGTGAGTGGAACCAATCCCCCATGGATACCAAGAGATGACTGTAGATAGGTGTATCTACTTTTTGAAAGGCTGTATATACATATAGAATTTAACATCTTTCAATTTCCATATAGACTTAACAGTAGCACTTCTGAACTGCATTATCCCCAGTTGCTTTTTATTTTAAGTCTCAATTTCTTATGCCATTTTAGTTTTAAATTGTTAAAGCATAAAATTTCTCCTTTTGTGGATGTTTTACCCCATTCTCAGCTCTATTATGTAATTATAATTAAACAAAAACCTTTAGAACTTCTCAAAGACTACATCAAGGTAACTCTGATGGCTGAAACAACAAACCTGTACCTGTGGGGAGCAGGCGCACTGTGGCCAGTTGTGAGAGTTGTGTGTCACACAAAGACACTTGGCCTGGGAGGTGTAAGTGGGAGACAAAGTTTAGCACTTGCTCTGTTCACCCACTTATGAGTTCTCATGTGAGGCTGCCAGCCCAGAGGAAGGGCATGGTTTTTTCATTGTCTGCCTAAAGAGTGGGGTAAACAGTAACCTTTTTATAATTTGCAGAAAGGTTGGCAAGGTCAAAGACACCTGGAGAAGTCCAGCTTAACCCTCATTTTAAGTCTTGTGCTATAGTTTAAAAATTTATGTCTTTTTTGGCATAATATATGTTGGTTTTAAAATCTTCCAGAAAAATTGTCAATCCAGGAAAATGCCTCGTTTACTAGTAAGAGAAAGACACACACACTCTCTCTCTCTCTCTCTCTCAGTGTGTGTGTGTTCGTGTGCTCGGGGGTGTACTGGAGGCTGACATTAATAAAACCTTATTCAGTGCAAAGGTATTCCGAGTCACCAGATTCATACTTTTGGCCTATTACATAGAGCATACTCTTAAATCACGAACAAAAGTCATCTCAGGGAAAAGTATATTGTAATAAATTACACAAGAGCAAAACTTTATAAGTTTCTATTAATATTTAATTTGTGTGCAGAGCACTTTTAGTTCCTCAAAAGACAGTATTCCAAATGTTTTCCTGGCAATACCCATGCACTGTGTGCATGGTTCTGATAGTTTGGGGTATGTGTGGATGCTGCTGTTTTTGCCACAAGAAATGACACTGCAGTTACCATCCAAATTTCAGAGCTGAGCCATCATAAAAGTCAGCATCTTATTCCTTACCGGGCTTCTTAGTGGGGTGGGTAGAGTCCACTGATACATTTCTAACAGCACCTGATGGCTTGGGTGCTTGCTTCATCCCTGTGAGCAGAGATAATGAAAGGGAATAATCAGATAGCAAAAATGTCTCATGGAAACTTGGTAGAGTTGTCAGTAATAATGTACATTCTTTGTAGAGCAGGAGCATTGGTGTTTTTATGCCAGAACATTTTAATGGGCTTCTACTATCTGGCTATAGAAAAATATCAAACTAGAGTTTAGTTTTTATAGATATTTTTATAGGTATATAGATATTATAGAAAATATCTATATCTATATAAATATATATATTATAAAAATATAGAAAATGTCTATATATATCTATATCTATAAAAATATCTATGTATTTTATAGATTTAGATATGTTTCTATAGCCAGATAGAAGCCCATTAAAATGAAATGCTAATTCTGCAGAGAAAACATCACAACTAGTATCAAAATTAGTTGTGATGTTTTCTCTGCAGAATTAGCATTTCATTGTAAATTGCAGTTTTGTCCAGATCTTCCATGAAACTCATCCTCGGTGCCTTCCTGGGTGATATTCCTCACCAGGTGGAATTTCATTTATGGTAATTGGCCACCTTTTGTCAATATTCATCAGTACATTTTGTAGTTTTAAAAAGTTGTTTTTTCTTTCAATCCCTCTATGCCCATTAAAAAAAAACTTAAGAATTCCATTGTGTTTGGGTTTATACTTAATGAATTGACTTTAAAATTATTCCTCAAGTGGCATTAGCTATCAGGCTGTTGAGGCCACAAATGATCTTTGGGGATTTGTAACTCAGCCCTGGGAAAGCCTATATTCTAAATTACCATTTGAAAGAAAATGATTTGAAAATCACTTTGTGTGACATAACATGTCTCCTAAGCCCCTCAATAATCTCGTTTTATTACCAGCCATTTGCCTAAATACCCAAGCTTGGACTTTGGGTAGCAATCCCAAAGGGATTAGGTTTTTGTCCTATTTTAAAAAATATTCTTTTATATTATAAAATAATCTTTCTTGGTTTGGCTGACAGTTTTCATTATAAAAGAATAAAAACAAACATTTTTTAGAATTTCAACAATAAAAAATGAAGTCCTGTCCTAAAAAAGAATTCAAGCCAATTTGAGGCTACAATTTACATATTAAAAAATAGGAATGAAATGTTTAAATTAATATACTAGTTAGTACATTAACAATGACAACAACCCTGTTTTGAGGACTCACTGTGTTCCAGAAGCTGTCTGGGGACATTATATACTCAATTTGATTTAATGTGTGGGCAGATAGATTAAATATATAGCAGAAGGTTTGCCTCTCAAAAATAAGATGACATTTTCACATTCATTTATTAGATTCAGAAGATGAACATAGTATTGCAATCCCACACCCTCTGCAGCTTAAGAGAGAAAATATGTAAAATCATGGAGAAATTACATATGGAGTCATAAATTAAAGCTTGCTTATTTGTGGTAGGAAAAAGATGTTTCTGGGGGCAATGACTTTTGTGACTAATTCCATAGGCAGGCCACAAGCAAATGGTTCATTAGTCTTCCTCCTGTGTCTCACTATCAGTGGTCGTGGGGCGAGGGATATGGCTCATTTGAGTGGTTACTCTGTGAATGACATATAGAATTGAAGAATACCTGCATGTGTGTCACTGGGGTAACTTGGCCTGCTGAGGTTTGATTTACCACTATTTCTCCAGGGTAACAAAAAGTTTAATATACTCTAGAAAGCTAGTAGGCTGTTGTCTCGAGTAGATCCTCTTTACAGCCTTTTTCCAAAATCTTTCTGCCCTTGAAAAACAAAGTATTTTTGATCCAATACTGTGCAAGTGCCTTACTATTCATGACTTGATTTAATCCCTTACAACCCTTTATGTGTGAGATACGATCCGCGTCCCACAGATGAGAAAACCCAAGGCAAGGGGAGACTTAGCAACTTGCCCAAGGTCTCACCGCTAGGAAGCAATAGGATTCAGGCCTACACATGCCACGACCCAAAGTCTATCTCTTCAGCACTAAAAGGCAAAGCACAGAGTACTGTACAAAGCACACTTACTGTGTTCCTCTGATCATGTTCTTCCTGCTGTCCCTCACAGTCACTCTGAGTGGATATATTCCTAGAGCCCTCTACTCTGTCTCTTGGGTGACTTGAGCTGCTACTACTGTGTGAGGGCTCAATGGCCACAGCTGCCAAGCACGTGCCATCCAGCCATGCCACGGGTGAATGGGACTCAGAAAACAGTCCAAGCCTGACAGCAGTCACTGAGCAGGCATATGCAAATCCACTAAGTCACAGAGGCTGGTAGGTTAGAAATCTAGGAGCTCTGAAGAGGATCCAAATTTTGCAGGGTTACATTTACATAAGACCAAAAATAAAAATTCCCTTGCCCTCTTTTTTTTTTTAATCCAGGGAGAATCTGGAAGAAAAGAGCCATTTTCTATGTAGGTGGAGACAGAGGCATCATATTCTTAGGACCTTTAAGATGTAAGTTCGCAATCAGATAGAGAATCAGCTGTGAAACTAGACCTTCTCCAGCCTATATAAATGGAAGGAAGCCAGTGGTGCCTGAAAGCACTGGGAAGGGCCATGCAAAAGGTAGCTAAGTGGCTCAGTGGGAAGATCTGGGGACAGGAGACTGAGCTCTTGTTCTGGACTTGCTCTCCTGCACCTAGCAGCAGTTTAGGCATTTCACTGGGGCCAGAACCAGAGAGACTAGTGAACATCTTTTGCCCTGAGTCAGAGGAGAGCAAATGAAGGCCAAAGGTAGCAGAGAGGCAATGGGAAGAGAAAGGAGAAAATCAATGAAAGGAGGAAATCAGTAAGAGATAGAGCAGAGAACAACTCCACAAGAATTGGCACCCAATTGGATAGACTGGCTCAAGCTGTGACCTGACTTCTTTTTCCTTCAGGCAGGATTAATCAACTCATCTTCTAAAGGGCAGAGTCAGCTCTATAAGCACCAAGACTTGAGCCTCTGAATGAGCCCCAACTGCCAGACGGGAGTCCTCCAAAAATCTCTGGATTTACAGAGTTCACCCCTCAGTAATTTATCATCCAAAATGAAGTAACAAGCTGGGCATTTTTAACCATGGTAACAAAATCTTTGCAAACAAACAGAGTAAATGGGAAATCAGTTCTTAAATGTACCAGTGACTTCATTCCCTGTGACCAAAAAGGGGTGATATTTATGGATGATTGGTTTCTGCACTCTTGTCCCAAATCTTAACACCTGGCTAAAAAGCCGGGGCGGGGAGCCAGCAGGCTGGAAGATCTAGTTACAGCCCAGAAAAACACATTCCTCAGCCTGAGGAGACTGGATTCTCGTGCAGCACACTCATGTGGGGGCAGTAAATTGTGGTTCCCTCATTAGGGTGTAGAGAACGGAGCCTAGGTTTCAGGTATTTAACAACATCTGCCAAACCATACGTGCCAAGGTGGTTTCAGATTTATGCTTTGCCTGGTACCATAATGGGCTTTCAATAAATATTGGTTGAATGAAAAAATAGCTGCACAGCTTCTCTCAGGGAGAAAGAGATTGTCTAGCACTGGGATTGGCAAACTCTTTCTGTACTTGCTTTCACAGCACAATGGCATAATGAAATATTCGTGAAAGAGACGGTAGGGTCCACAGAGTTGAAAATATTTATCCTTTACAGAATCAGTCTGCCAACCTCACACTAGACAATATTTTCACCTTTGAGGGCCATACTGTCTCTGTCACAACAACTCAACTGTATCATTACACTGTATACGTACCTTTGTACACAGTACACATTATATGTGAAAGGTAGATGTATTCCAGTAAAACTTTATTTACGGAAACAGGCAACGGGCCAGATTTGGCTTGTGGGGCTGTAGTTTGCACAATTCCTTGGCCCAGTGTATGCATGGCTTGTTGCATACCTGTAGGCAGGTCTCAAGGAGATTTTAATAGATAGGACACATCAGCTAACCTGAGACACATCTCTGGACAGCAGAATGCTAGAAAAATTGCCCACTTTAGATCTCAGTCTCGACAGGCTACTTTCCAACCTTGGGGTAGAGCAATAACTATCTACACATACATGTATAAAATACACGTATGTCAGGGAAAATATCTATAATGATGTTGTGCAATAAGAGATAAAACACTGGGTCCAATATATTCCTGAGGGTTATGGAATCACGAGATTTTTATAGAGACCTCAACAATCAAAGGTCTACAGTCTTGAGGCCTGAGAATCTGTTTTTCTTTTTTTAAGTCTTCCTAGGGCACAACCTTAGTTGGTCTAAGATCATAAAGAACACGTCCTATAGGAACTACAAATTTAAACCACAATTAGATACCACCTTATTCCTGCAAGAATGGACATTATCAAAAGGTCAAAAACAACAGATGATGGAGTGGATGTGGGAAAAAGGGATCAGTTGCACATTGCCGGGAGAATGCAAATTAGTGCAACCTCTATGGAAGGCCGCTTGGAGATTCCTTACAGAACTAGTAGTAGAACTACCATTCTATCCAGCCATCCTACTACTGGTTATCTACTTAAAGGAAAATAAGCCATTACATGAAAAAGACACATGCACATGTATGTTTATTGCAGCACAATTCACAATTGCAAAGATATGGAACCAACTTAAATGCCCACTGACTAATGAGTGGATAAATAAAATATTTGGCATGTGTACACCATGGAATACTACCCAGCGATAAAAAAGGAACATGATAATGTCTTTGCAGCAGTTTGGATGGATCTACAGGACATTCTAAGTGAAGTAATTCAGGAGTGGAAAACCAAAAATCATATGTTCTCGCTTAAAAGTGGGAGGTAAGCTATAAGTACATAAAGGCTTACAGAGTAATATGGACTTTAGAGACTCCGAGGGGGAGGGTGAGAGGAGGCTAGGGATAAAAAGCGATAATATATTAGGTATAGTGTACACCACTCAGGTGATGAGTACACTAAAATCTTGAATTCACCGCTATATAATTCAGCCATGTAACAAAAAAAGCCATTCATGTTTATCCATGTAACAAAAAACCCAAAAGCTGTTTAAAGTTTAAAAA